ACAGATAACCCTGCTGGGTTTTTGGGGACTGTAACATGACTTGAAGATCCATAAGGTAATTGCCGTGTGGATCATTTTTCTAATCCTGAGCAACACTGAGAACATTCTTCCCAAGTTGCTCCAGCTTTATTGGAATGTCAGTGAGTAATGAGCATGCAACATCCTTGTTCTGCAAAGGACACGCCACACATAGGTTTTAAGAGTAGTTTCTTTGTAGCATATTTACATTAAGATACAGATGCTGAGAAACAGAAAGCTAGGGTTTCCTGAGCTGTGGAGGGAGGGAAAGAGAGAGGATGTGGCTGTTTCAGGCCTCAGGCAAAGAATGCTGAAGGAAGAGAACTCAGGAAACATATAATCAGAATCAGTTCTGAGATATGGCTTGATTTATCCAAGAAGATTAAAGTTGGTATGATAGGAAGAATTAGATACTTCTTCAGCAAGTCCCAAAACACACAGTTCTTTATAAGTCTCACTTACAGGATTTCTATTATAACCACAAGAGGAGGCCCAAGAAAATAAAACATTGGCAGTGGTGAGGTTTATTATTGTAACAAGGACTAAAACTGGAATGAAGGCGTATGAAAAGAGGGACAAATCCCAAGGAAATCAGCAGAACATTACTAACTTCACTTCTGTCAAAGATTCCTCTGAATATTTAAATTAGAAAATGAACACAGTGTCATAGATAAAGACAAGTCTTGCAATATGCTCAGCATTACACACTGTCAACAAAGTCTGGAAGCCGGTATCAAGACTTAAAAAGACCCTTGTAGACAGACAATCTTTCTGTCTACATGCTTTTCTAAGCATGGAACACTTCTTAAAAAAAAAGAGGTTTGACTTTTCAGGTACGAAAAAAATACCAGCTGAGCCTCTAACTCTGCTGAGAGTTTAAGGCAGAGGATTAACCATAAAATAAATCAGAAAGGAAGCTTTAAAACCTTCAACAGTCTCATAAAAATCCAACTAGCATGACCTCTTATCACATGTAGGAGGCAAGATGGAGCAATGAGAGAAGGATGTTACACAGTACACTGGAGGTAGGAAATCAGTCTACTGCCATCTTTCTCTAAAATTTAAAGGGGGCAAAAAAGTATTCCAGTTTCTATATAGGAAGTGAGAACTTTCTCTCCCTGGATAAAGAGTAAGGTTTGGCATCCTTTTGAGAGATGCTTTCTCCTCTCCTACAACGTGGACTCCTTCCTGCTACAGCAGATTTCTGGGGAAAAGTGATTTAGCAAGGAATAAAACAGAGATGATTGGCAACATTCTGACATGCAGTGAAGATCGCTCCCCACTCCTTTATCTTAACAGCCATCACCACAGCCCTCTCTGCGCATTGAGTAGCCACACTTCATGTGTCTGAGCTGTCCCAGGCACACACAGGATGCCTCAGCTGTGAATGCTTCTGACATTGAAGTGAACCCTTGTTGGATATCTCACAGCTGTTGCTCTTTCTACCCTTTGACTAGACTCTCCTCTGCTTGTGGAAGTGGACTTAGAAAGAATTTGACTGCTGATGCCAGTGGGGAACTCCCACGAAGGCAAGGAAGTTGTGAGCAACTTGTTAGTGGGGAAGGAGCTTCTGTGTTCTGACCAGAACGTCACAGTGTAAGTGATGTTACATGTGATGAAGCACAGGCTTTGAAACTAAGGAACCCACCTTATTCTCTCCCACATAAATTCCTAAGGATCTCTACCCATTGACTATTATTTTCTGCTGATGATTTTTTTTAATCTCAAACATGAAATAATGCAATGGTTACTTTACTGTGTACGTAGAGTATTCAAACAAAAAGAGACAGGAAAATAATTACGCAACTAAAGACAAATAATTAACTTAACTCCCTACAAACTTGCCTAAATTGCAGGATGCCCAGACTACTGGTTAAAACAGATCATCTTTGGATATTTTATGCAAATATACAGATGTGTAACTGCTACAATGATGCTGATTCATCACCTGTGATGTTTATTTTATTGGAGGGGTTAGCTATCATTCCTATACATATGCAGTGCTTTTGCAACAGCATTCAGAATTTCATCTTCAAGGCACAATGCTGGATTGACAGCACGGAAGTCTAATGCCTCTTGTTTAGCCATTTAAAGTCATGGAAGCTGTTGTGCAGCAAATCTCATCCATATCAACCTGCTTATTCTGGAGGAGGAAGAAAGGAAGCAAGCAGAAGAGCAATCCAGTACTTTGTCCCATTACACAGTGAATTATATAACACCAAGGAAATATATTTGCTAGAAAGCTGGGTGTATGCTCAGAAAAGCTTTTGAGACAAACAGGTCTGCTGTCCCAACCTGCATTTATCTGAAAGAATGAGAAGTGAGGCCCTGTGAAATCTCAAGTTACCTTTTTCTCCTGAGCAGTGAGATTGGGGGTTCTCACAGGTGCATGGGGTATTCCTTTTCTCCGACCTTTGTTTTCAGGCAAAGGGTTTAGAGGAAGGCCACGGCAGATTTCCTTCAAGCTGGTCATTGCTGAGGAAATACGAGGAAGAAAGGCAAGGCAAACTGGAGAGGTGCAAGGAACAGGAGGTACAAGGAAGGTGCAGGTAAGCAAGATGCTCAGTGATTCAAATGCACCACCACTCCAGGGTGATCCCAAAGAGGACAGCCTGTCCTCTGGCTTTTGCAAACAGGGCTGTCAAGTATAGAGGGCAGGTGGTACAGATGACACACCTCCCCCCTCTCTGTCATGCCATTGGCTCTTCCCTCCTCACCCAAAATGAATGATTCACAGTTTTGCCGTTTACTCTCTGGGTGCTTTGTCAATTGTCACTAGAGCAAACTCAGTCTCTTTCCAAAATATCCAACTCCCCCAGTGTCCCAGTGAGAGTCATGGACTGGAGCATGAACCTTGCCTGAGACCTCAATGATTGTATATTTACATTACTATACTTTAGGAACTAACTGAAGCTAATAATTGTTATTCACACCACTGTTCATACACATTGTCCAGCTAAGATGGGCATTCTCTGTTTGACACCTCTAGTATGGGCCGTTCCTCAGATCTCATCAATTTGTCTTCTAGACAATAGCAGTAGTCAATGATAACAGCAAAATTTTCCCCTTAGGTGTTAAGTCTTCTTAGCTCACAGGCATGAATGGATTTTCGCAGCATTACACTGGAAATGTACTCATTAGCACTGGTAGTGGGTTCCTCAAGACAGTCAATAATTGGAAGAACGAAGGCTTTCCATTCTATGTCAGTTTTATACCCTACAGTCAACAACTAGAAAGTCTTATGGTACTGCCATCCAGGCATCACAGGTAAATGAATGTACTTAACTTTGATTTTCCACTTACCAGTGCAACATGAACTTTGCTCTCTATTTTAGGTTGTTGTTTAAATTACACAGCAGCTTCTTGACCTTTATTACATCTATTAAACTACAAGTGCCACAATTTAAGCCTGGTGAAATTAACTGGGAGAAGCATTTCAGTTAGGAATGAGGCTAAAACCTGCAAATAAAAAAATACAGCATTTCCCCACAAAGGCGGCAATCAACAAGCAATGACAACAAAGCACAATTATTAAATGACAGCCTCTCATTAATGTCAGATCCGCTTTAGCTCTAGGACATCCTGCACATCCCCAGTTCCCACTGAAGATGCTCGAGTTGAAAGAACTCAGAACATCCCAGGGGAAATGAGCACAGAGCAGACTCAGACCCTCTGAAGGATACTGTCATTTACAGCAGGAGAATTTTGTTTTGTAATTAAACAGTATTTTAGCTGCTTTCAAACAAAAGGCAAAGACAAAAAGGAGAGGGAAAAGCCTCCATATTTCAAAGTTTTCTGTTTGGTTTTCATATTAAAAACATGCCAAAAAAGAAAAGAAAGATAAGAGTAAAGTAAAAAAATTCTGCACCAAAACCTAGCTAAATAACCCTGCCTTACATAAACATTCCCACCCCAAAGGGAAATAAATCTTTCCTTTTTCTTCTTTGTATGACCTACATTCTTCAAATCCCTCTAAGGTCTGATCCTGCACACACATGAGCACAAGAATAACCCCGTTTGCATTGGACTCCCCTCGGACCTGTTTCCTCTGTGACATGGAGCAGAAGTTATTGGTGTTATATTGATGAGAAACCTGAGGAAAGAGAGAAGGAAGAAGTGGGAACATACACCCTGAATTAATTTTTGTTCCCTAGGGCTGAACACTTTCACCCCCTCATCACTACATGCTGGAGTCTCTCTGAGTCCCCGAGAGCTTTGTGTTGGAGTTACCGAGTTCAACTTCAGGGATTCTGCCAGAGCAGACCTCCCAGCTTCTCCAGGCAGTCACAAGTCCCCTCGCTGCCTGGCTCGTCCCAGCTCCTGCCAGTGGTTATGGAATGAAGCTGGTGCGTGTGCCCGCTTGTACACCACGGGAGCTTTACCTGAACCCGGCCACCCTCTCTCCCCAGGCCCGGGGGTGCGAGGGCCGCGTCCCCGGGGCTCGGGGCAGGTGTCATGTGCCGGGCGGGCTGGCAGAGGGTGCTGCAGGGACAGACGGACGCGCACAGAAACACACGGACACGCACGGGCTGCTGGAGGGGAGGATGCGGCTGGAAAAACAACGCCCGCGACTGAGCCCAACCAGCACCAGCCCGGCCCAAGAGGAGGTGCGGAACGGACCCAAAAAAAAAAAAAAAGGCACATATAGAGCCCAGGAAGAAGATCACATGTTTTAATAATCCCCTTTGCAGGCAGACAGGACCAGAGAATTGTCCGGTTAGGACCGAGAGATGTCCTAGAGGCTGAAGGGAGGCAGCGACAAAACTTGCAGATAGCTAACCCGCCCTCGGGAGGGCAGGACCCCCCCGCCCTAAGCCTTACTGTAGCAGCAGGAAGGAAGGATTCTTCAGCCCCCTCTCCCTTTCCCCTTCTCGCCTGGGCGCTGGGCATTGCACCTCCATCCCGGGAGAGCAGCCCCTGCCCACGCCTGCCCGCTGCCCCTCCCTGAGATCCGCAGCCCCCGCGTCGCGGTCAGGAGCCGGTCCAGCAGCAGAGACGGCCGGGGATTGCCCGGGCACCGGCCCCGGCGAGCTGGCGTTGGGTTTGTTTTCCACTCCCCTGGCGCTCGCTGTGTGAAGCAAATCCCTTGGAGGTGGGGGAGAAGCGGCTTCCGTGACAGCGGAGGGAGGAGGGAAATAAAATAAAATAAAACAAACCAAAATAAAAAGGGAGAAGAGCCAGGAAAGCACTTGCTTCTCATCATCTCTCAGGGAGCAAAGCCAACTCTGCTCTTCTTATGACCCTCTGCTGCAGGGAGCAAAGGGAGAGAAGGTACTGGGGGGCACCTCCTAACAAAGCAGGGTTCAGGCTGCCGGGACCCCCTCGCTACCCGGGGCAGCAGCAGCCTGCGGGAGGTGCGAGGAGGTAGGGAAGGTTGCCAAGGTGAACCCAGGCACAGTCAAACCGAAGCTCCACCAAAAGCAAGGAGCAGGAATGAAAGTTTCGAAATAGCATCCAAAGAAGCGCCAAGGACCGGACCGAGCAGAGCTCTCCGCCTCGCATCAGCCCTCGATGGTGCATCCGAGGCGCTGCGTCAGGGATGTGAACGTCCCCTGCCCGCTGCATGGAGAGGGGTAAAGGCACAGAAAAGCTTTGTTATTTATTTATTTATTGGAAGCAATGTATGGGTGACACCCAGAAGGCATCTGAGCCCTGAAAAAAACCAAACCACCTCTGGACCCAAAGGAGAACAAGAAGAATGAGACAGCAGCCTTGACCCCTACACTGAGAGGAAGGTGAGCAGAAAGAAAGAAAGAAAATACAGAAAAGCCATGCAAGCACCAAACCTGTAGATTACTGCAGGTTTTTTTTTGCTTCACTGAGGACAAATATTTTGCTGACAACCATGCAGCATAAAGGCATCATGCTGATTGTTTTCTTGGAATATTTTATTTCTGGCCGTGGGGAAGCAGGTAAGCAAAATAAATCAGTATTGCCATTCTGAAACAATTTATCCTAAATTTAACAAGGGGAAATGGGATAGAAATCAACTCTGTTTGTTTAAAAAAAATAAAGAAGTCATCTTTGTTTTAGACTGGATTTTTACAAGGAATTCGTGTTAGTCAATATACATAAAAGCTTCTTATTCCCTGCAATAAACAGCTTTACAGTTCAATCTCCTTCCAAAGCCTTATAGGATGTACAGGTTCATAAACCCTTACAAGAAAAAAGTGTGTTAGTTTTGCAAACAAAAGAAAAGTAAGAGAAAAAGGAAGAGGTAGGTGGATTGAGATATGCTGGATGTTTGTTTTGAGGATGAAACACTGCCTTTCTAGGCAGGACAATAGTGAAATTACAACATCCTTGGATAGTATCACCATAGGAATCTGAATTATTCTCTTAATATTACTTAATATTGCATCATTAAAAATCAGAGATGCTGTTTAGGAATTCTTATTTATCCAGAACAGTCCATTCATTCATTGTATTCCCTGATTTAATAGTTAACATGCAGTGGATGGGATTAAATTAGCATTAGAGAAAAATGCATTAGGACAGAAAGAGAAGTTGATTAGTTGTGTGTGTTGTATACGTGGGTGTACAAATATACATATGATACAGGAATGATACAGCTGCATATTTACATAGGGACCTAAAAATACCTGGATTATGATGGAGACAAATCCCTTAAAGGAAAGAAAGCAAAGCATTTTTTCTTTCTGCTGTGGTTTAATACATCCTTAAGTTTAAAAGGGTTAAGTTATGAAGGTCAGGTCAGAAAAATAAAAATAATTATTGATAAAACAACAATACATCCTCGGTGAGTTTTCCTTTGAGATAATGTCTTGGGATCTCTCTTCCTGTACAGGAAAGCATATCAGTGGTTTAAATTTCACCTGTATGCTCAGAGTATTAGGACAGGAACAACACTCTTCATGCAGTGATTTGAAAGCAATTGAAGTGCTCAGCTATCCTGCAAGCTCCAGCAGAGGCAGAGCCCGATCAAGTTTATTCAGCTCAGATTATTCCCTTGCTAAAGCCCTTCCGATAACAGACATAGAATTCCATAACGGCAAGAGATTTTTTTCTTAAAAACTGAAAACATAAATTTACACTCCTGTCATATTACCCAGTATCCCATTTGGGGAAAAGGCTGTCTGTCACAGCATGACAGAGAATGAGGGGAGGAGTACTTGTGCCTTAGTCAAATGTCTTATTTTGGGCATTTGCTGGTTTCCCAGGCTAGGGTGTAAGCTCCCTATAGGATGTATATGTTGACACATCACAGAAAGGTTACAGAGATGTCTTGTGAAGTTGCTGACACTGTTGCAGAAGGCAGCCTGTTACAAAGTAGCCTAAATTTGCTCGTCATCCCATTCACTAACTGAAAACAAATCTTCAAGGAAATGCAGCCCCCAGCCGACTGCTTGGAAAGTGAATTTGAAGGGAGGGGATGTGTTCTGTACGGAGCTAAACTTAGTCAGAATAATAGTGTAGGAATGGTGAATAGCAGCAAAACAACTGGATATTGAAGGTGATGCCTCTAAGGACTCAGTGTCCCTTTAAATAAATATTTGGTGCTTGATCAAAAGGTTGCACTATCAGCCTGTGAAACCACAAGGCTTACCTGTTCATTTTTTATTCTTTTTTTAGAGCTGAGAGGTGTAGAGAGAAGTATGTTTTTGGCATACTTCCTTAGCCTATACGGTAAACTCCCTTTTCAGCTCTATAGCTGATCCCTCCTGGTCAGAAGTGAAACAAATTGATGGGGCAGTTGTTTGGGGAGTACGTGACACATAATATTTGTGGGGAGTACAATATTTGCCTTCTACCATCCCTGCATAGAGAAGACAGTCCAGGTTGTCAAGACTGGCTCCTTAGATCTTTAAATATAATGCCATGGGGGGAAAAAAACAACCAACCAACCAAAACAAAACAAAAAATACCTTACTGCTTAGGCTGGAGCAGACATCTAGGGTTTATACTGTAAGATGTGACACTTGGATGATCCTTCCCCTAGTCTTATGCAGGTGGAGGACATTATTTCCTCAAACAGGCTCTGTAGTGATCTGAAAACTGTTGCATATTGAGACACAGCTTGACACAGGACTGCCAAGAGCTTGGGATCTTGCTTCAGCTCCAGACCTCCCCACGTAAGCAGTGGCCTGGGCAGCAGCACCTGGGCCAGCTCTCATCCCAATGGGAGCCTTGAGAAAGAGGATGTGATGGGGTCAGAAAAGGCCATTTCCACCATCAAACTTAAAATCAATTGCAGGATCCAATTATCAGCAGGCTTTGGTTTCATCTGGTCTGAGGTTATTCAGCTCATCTGCAAGTGAAGCTGTAGGTGTTGGAGCCCAGTGTTGCTCCAGAGGGGATGTGGGCAGGTAGACTGCAAACGGACACAATGGAAGAGAGCCCCGGCCTGGGACCTAATCCTTCTGTCCATGTCTCAAGTCATGGAGGCACCTTGGTTTCACAGCATGTTCTGAACCTCACCTCTGGGGTATTTATGAAGGCTGGCTCATTAGCCCCAGTTATCAGGGCTATTTTAGTGCAGAAATACATCAGGCTACTCATATATGGATGAAGACTTGCCAAACGTACTACATGTTGGTCCCAGGCAAATCAAAGGATTGTACAGCACTTCTGTTGTAACCAGTGTTTAAGGGTAAAGTCCTAGGTCTGACTAATAAAAATTTGAGTAACTCGTTTCCCCAGGGTGGTTAGCTTTAAAATAAAACTTAAAAGTTTTTAGTTATTAAGAAAAAAGCTAAACAGATACATAACGTGTAAAAAGTGAAATCCAGGTTGGACATCCATGCTGAAACTGATCCATCAAAACACACAGCAGAAGATACCCAAAGGTTTTACTGTTTCTCAGATCTGTGAAATTTGCTCTTCTGAGTAACTACAGGAGAACTGAACACATAAAAACATAAATTTGCATACGGAAAAGAAATAAAAATTCCAATTCAAATCACTCGTAAAACATTAGGCATCTTTCCAGTCCCATCAGCAGGGTTTTGGATAAGATGCCATATGACCTTTCTTCTGTTGGGTATCCAATGGGGAGGTGAAAAAAAAATGAAAAAAAAAATGAAGCTGTTTTTAGTTAATGTCTACAGTGTTCTGTTGCATTACAAGTAAGAGATCTCCATTAGAAAATGGTGTCCCAGGAATATCAATAGTATGACCTCCCTTGAACTGTATGATTTCCTAATCATCAGATAACACCATTGTTGGAACACGTGCTGAGCATGTGCCATTGACCTGCCACTTTGTGGCACAGCTCTGAGGGACTAGAAAACAAACAAATAAATTAATCATACCATTTATGGAGCCAAGCCATCCTCCATGGAGTAAAATCTAATCAACTTCATAATAACATGCAGGGCCCATGCGTAATCAAACTCTTTAGTTCTTTATGAATTATTCAGTGAGTCCTCCTTGCAGTTGGGGTAAGTTGTTTGTTTGGCTGCTGGTTCTCTTCTGCAGGGATCTCCCCTTGCTGTCCAGATTCAGCATTTTGTGTTGTTTCCACAGAATCACTGAGTGATGGACAGGCTCCACCGTCCTTGTGGCCAAGTAATGTTCTGCCAATTGATTTCTTTAAATACAAAGCTTTTAATCGACTGCAGATTTGTTTTCCAATCTCTCTCATTCTCTCAAACTCCCTTCTGCTAATTTGCACTTTGTTCTTCTCCCATTTTCCTAATGACACAGCAGTTCAGGCAGGAACTGTTTATTGATGTTGCTGCATTAGCAGGCAGAGCAGATAAATGTTCTTGTGACTGGTGTTCAGGAGAACAAACATCTTTCTTTCTTTTCCAGATTCAGAAAAAAACAGCTAAAAAACTCAATACAAAAGCAGACATTCCCTTTTAAAAATGTTTCCTTTTTTGCTTTCTCACATTCTTGTCTGCAAAGTTTCCCCTTATACAACTTCTTAAATTTGGAACTCCAGCATCCTCTATGAAAGCTTTAGTGGTGTAATCCATCAATGGAGATGGACTTCCTTTTAATTATGTGGTATACATATCCATAATCATCCATAATCCAATAGCATTTGTAACATGGATCCATTCCTGATCAAAACTAAGTAACCTGACTCTTATTCAGAACTAATGCTTGTTCAAAGCTCAGTTGTAAGACCAGTCCCACTGAAATTCTCTGGAGGCAAAGATGACACCTTTGTGCAGCACTGAGCAAAATCAGTTAATACTGAATCTGCTTCAAAGACAGAAATTGCTGTGACTTCCTTATTTCTGGTAGTTTTTTCCAAACAGTTTGGACATGAACATGAACCTAAACATCACTTGCAAAGACATTGTTGAGGCATGCAGTTGTAGCTCATATATATGTATATATATGTATAAGTATAGATTCATCTTTATTTCTAGAATTCTGCATGACTCAGTAAAATTTACCCTCCAGAGTACATAAAAATTTGGAATTTCAGATGCTCTGCAAAAAGGAGGAAGCTCTAAACAACTTCTATGGCCCTTCTCTGGACAAAAATACTCAGAGATATTGCAAGGAACCTCCTAGATAAAAACCTCTGAACCCCCTGGTGTTCCTCTGTAACTGCACTGGGCTCAGATAGAACAAGAAGTTCACAATCAGAAAGAAATTACATTGAAATGGCCATCAAGCAGTTGGGATGGTGTGAGGACTTGGTGGAAGATCTCCAGCAGTGCTAAGAATCATCTGCTCAGTTGAAGGTGGGGAACAGAGAACAGAACCAATAGAGCCAAACATCCCCATCTTCTCTCCATTCCTCTCCAGATGACTTCTGCAAATCCTCATCTCTGTACTGGCTGGTGGGACTGAGGAGGGGCAGCTTTCATTCCTTTGATCTGAAGACTTTCAGGTGCACATGTAATTCAGGCACTGCTGCCCTCTAAGCTCTGCCAGTCTCCTAGGGCTTCTATAGGATACTAAAAAAAATCTTTGCCAGCAAACACACTCCAAATTACCTTAAAGGTGGCTTCCACCTGTTTCTAAGAGTAGTCAAGAGCATTTTTGGATGATCTCCTTTCTTCCTACCTGAAGTTTAAGACTACCTCACTCTTTATGTAAACTAAAATGGCACACGCCTTTGGTCAATGGGATTCAGTGGACATACAATAATTCTATTTTGTGTCCTAATCCTGGGAAGCAAAATGCATAAGGTGTTTTCCAAAATAATGCCTATGTCTGACCTTTCTTTCCTGGTCTGGTAGAGATGTCACTGAAGAACTAAGGACAGAGCCAACTCAGAAACAAAACTGTGTATGTTGGACATTTTTTTCACCTTAAACTTTCCTTTTGGAAAGAGGGGTGTCAATTTGACACTTTTATAAGTACTTTGAGTACTTCTATAAGGCCGAATTGGAGGGTCCTTTCTTTGACCTAACTTGATTTTTAAATTAATTTTACCTGAGGAAAGGCTGAATATAAATTGAGTAGGGATTTTAAAATTTTACCTAGAATGTTGAGCTAATAGTTGACCTTTGAACTGCTCCTAGATTACTCAGGGTTTATGGTCATCCCATGTTTCATTGGAAGGGTCATTTCCTGTAGGACCTACATCCAGTCATCTGACTTGTGACCTCTTGGATTAGATTTATGACCTTGCAAGGTCAGTCTTTAACTCCTTCTAAAGTGTTAAGTTGCAAAGAGGACATGGTATGCCATTAGAAATGCAGTTTTCTCCAGCATGGTAATAAGGTTTTGGAATGACCTTTAATTCCACTTCAGAAGACACTGCTGATTTTCAAAAAATATTGAGACTTTGTAGTTATCCCTACCTTTTCTTAATTTAGAAATAAGTAAATATATCCATTGAAGATACCAAAAATTTGCCAATATTTGCAAACTTGGCAAACAGAATGTAGTCATCTATCTCCATGTCAAGGTATTTAAACAAAAGATAGACTTGATTTTCAGCTCTGTTATGAATAAATAACTCCCCCTGATCTTATTAGGAGAGGTAGAAACTCAACACTCAGCTGTAGAAATACATGCTTTTATGTGTAATTAGTGTCTGAAATCTGTTGGGCAGGAATCATCTCTTTTCTTAATGTATCTACAGTTTACACTCCAGTTTGACTTTGCTCTCTGATAACAATGAAAATAGACACATTGAATAGATTCAGTCAATACAGATTTTTACTAGAGTGAAAGTAAGATAACACAAGATTACTCCAGTTAAACATAAAATTCAGTGGACCAACACAACTGCATTTTCAACAGAAATTAAGGTTAAGCACCATAAACATCAGTTTCTGAGTTAGGCACCAAACACAAGGACTGGATTCATTGAGAAACTGCCTCAAAACGTAGTGTGAAAAGATGAAGCAGCTCTCCTTTGAAGGTGTCCTCTTGGATTTCAGTCCCCAGATGAGGACTCCAAACATTTGTATCGCCACCCGCATTACACCCTGAGCAGTATTTGAGAAGTTCTACTTGTTGTCTTTCTTTTGCCCGTCTTTCAGACCCCACAAGACCGCGAGCCTTCCGCTGCAATGGCCGTGCCTGCAACCCTCCAGTGGGAAACCTTGCGGCAGGGAGGACACCAGTCACCCTCACCACGTGTGGCCAGAACAGCACGGAGCTGTACTGCTCCTACCCGGACCACAACCTCCTGCACCGCCCCTCCCGCGGCTGTGGGCAGCCTCGCTGCACCAAGTGCAACGCCAACCAGCCTGACAACTCCCACCTCCCTGCTGACATGACGGATGATTTCTTTGCAAACCCCATCTCCTGGTGGCAGTCTGCCCAAGGGGTACACAGGGAAGAAATCCGACTGGACTTTGAAACAGAATTCTACCTGACCCACGTCATCGCTGTGTTCAAGTCACCTCGCCCAGCTGCAATGGTGTTGGAAAGATCCCAGGATTACGGGCAGACTTGGAGGCCCTACAAGTATTTCTCTGTCAACTGTACAGCTACTTTTGGGCTCCAGGATGATCTCATTGAGGAAGGCTCCATGTGCACTTCCAGGTATTCAGATGCAGTGCCCTGCACCAGAGGAGAGGTAAGCAATAACTGAGGCTTGGACTAAGTTTAATGTCAAACAGCTGAAGAGGGCCTGAAAACCAGAGAGTATGTGCTAAAACACATACTGTGTGTATAAATTCAGAAAGGTAGCCCATCTTAAAGGTCTTTGTGTTCAGAAAATAAAGTGGAAGAAGAAGAGAAATTGTATGTCAATGAAAATGAATGGAAATACTTTAACAAATTTATTTTATGAGAGCTTTCAGAGAATAGGATTAACTTTGCCTAATTGTACATTGCAGATGCCAGTAACTGAGCTAGAATTCCAACAAAGTAGGTGCAGGGAAATACCCATTTTGTAGAGTCTGATTTATCCACACCATTTTCCTACTTTAGGATGACATGAACTGCATGGTGTTTCATTTTCTTCTCCATATAAATAGTTCCTAGATGATTGAATGATTTTATACAGATCATTCCCCTAAGTTTAATGTAATTTTTCTTGCTGGTGGTGACTGCTGATTGTATCAAGCAGGCTCCAGAAATGAAACTGCTTAGAAGCAGGAAGTGGGAGTGAGAAGCCAGGCTTCACTATTCAACAGTGGGAAAAGCCCCTCCCTTGGTATGAATATTCTGATATGTTATTAAACATATGCAAAAGGTTTTTTTAAAAATAAATATACAGTTGTTCTGATAAATTCCTCTGACAAGAATATTAACTACTCTTAGTAATCAGACACTCAGTTTAGTTATAATTCCTTTCATTCATCAATCTTGAAACAGTTTAGATGGGAAAGAAGGTAAATATCTTGGTATCATTTTATAGAGAAGACATAATGGTACAAAGGGAGATCATAAAATATTCCTATATTCACAACAGAGGCTGGAGTCTTTTCACTTCCTTTTATTTCCTTCTCTCTTCCTTGGAGAAGTCATAATCCTTTTGGTTTCTCTGTCTGGAAGTGATCATGAAGGTTCATCAGTAATACTTTGCTGCAAATTAAGCTTAGAGGTGAGGTGAATGGTCCAGACAGGCTTCAAAAAATCCTGTGTTCTAGCAGTGCGCTTCAAAATGCACATGAAAAGAAACTAGTGTACTACACCTGAGACGGGGAAGCAGTAGTAAGGAGGGACTGAGTTCATCTTTGTGCAACAGGCTAAGAAACATCTCTGCATATGAGAAATCTGGAACAGATCATCTGACTACTAAACTATCTTATTTCTGGGAGTAGTAATTCTGCTGGTCAGTTAGGATGATTAATTTAAGTCAAATACATCCAAATGTCTTCTGTAAAGGGATTACAATTTGCCACGTCAACACAGAATCTCAGCAAGTAATATAGTTTTCCACTCTTGTGTGCCTTCCAATCAAAAATCTGGAAGTGCTTTGCAAGATCCAGTTAATGAGCTTCAGCACACATACAAGGGTCCTGCTTCCATTTCACAGATTGGGAAAGAGCAGCACAAAAAGGTGAAGTGTTCTGTGGTAAAACAGGACAATTCTGGTTGAGTAAGACACAGAATGCAAGGTCTGAGGCAAATGCCTTGGCCTTAAATGCAAAACAACTCTTCCTTCTCTAGTGCAGTTTCCCTGTTACCCTGCACTATGTTGGCTTTTGTGCTTCCTTAACCTTGGGGATTATCATTAAGACCATGTGTTGCTGCTACAACAAATCTGAGAAGTGGATGGCAGAAAATCAAATAATAAAACATTCATCCAACACAAGCCTTTGTTTACAAGTGTCAAAATGATTCTGTCAACTTGGGCAGCAACTACACTGAAGTGAGTATGTGTATGCTTAATCAATCTACTCTGTGGTAGTAGATGTCAGAAAGCAATAGTAATAGTAACAGTCCTATATTTACAGGTTATACCCTTGCAGATCCCAAATACTTCCATGAACATGACTTGAATACATAGAGAGGTCACTTCCTCCACGGGAGGAGGTGAAGCTTTACAGCAGCACACAGGAATCTGTATGGCAACTTAACAGAGAACAAGACAAACACTGTTTCACAGCACATTAACCCAAAAGGATTGTCAAGTTCTGAACAGGCTTTACAGAGACCTCTTAATCAATCCATGTAATGTCACTATTGGAAGGGTGCAGAAGCATTAGGCTTTTCAGGTCAGCAGCATGACACAGCAGATTCTTTTGTGAATTGAAATAAAGGGAAGCAGAGTGTAGTTATTTAAAGTGATACCTGATCAGATTTGCCTGAGTGACACTGCTACTGTTACTGCAAGTCTCACAGGAGCTTTGCCCATGCATCTCAGAACTGCAGCTTTACACTTTGTTTTGAAGATGTCACGAATGTCAGCAGGGCACCTCCTCAAACACTGACTCAAGTGACTTGGAAGGCAGTTCTTGAATCCTCACCACTATTTTCTTCAGTGTTCTCTGTTTCTTTTTCACCTTTACTCTGACCTATCCATAATCTATTACTGATTCTGGCTAAGCTTTGAATTGCTGAGGGGCTCACATCACAAGCTGACAGCTTCTGAAGTGATCCAAACAGTTTCAACTTAAATGCTAACCAATGCTTGAGGTAAAGGCCAGTTTTCTTTACCGAGGGTGCTGAACTAATTTCCACCACAGGACATTCAGGTTTTTCTTGGGTCTTATTCATTTGGAGAAGAGACACAAGTTCCTTTTTTAACAGGGCACAAAATGACTCAAAAAAAAGACATGGCTTACTGAGAACACTTAAGTTTAAAACCCATGCTGGGACACATAATGAAACACGATTTCAGGTCAACTGGCTCCCAGAACTGAAAATGTAGGTGTGAAAGGAGAAGGTGGTAGAGCTGCAGTAACCTCAACACATCTGTAAACTGAGATGCATCTCCCTGAGTTGGCACATTCTGGTGGTCCTCCAAGACCATGAAAGTCTTTTCCTGGTAGCAGGGTAGAAACCTTAGCAGAAGAGAAAATTTTAGGAGATGAGAATGGAAGCTCATTTGGATGAGTGATGTGACAATGTCACAACAGAATATAGTGTATCAATAAGTTAAGGTATAGCCCTTGTCTCTGGTAGATTGTCCCTTATTTTTCTCCTCTGAGAGGGTCACACATCTCCATTCTATCCCAGATAAGATACAGCTGAGGGAGAAGGTGTCAGGCATTGGGGAACAACTAACGTAGAAATGCAAGGAGATTACTGTCCAATATCTCTTTTCATTTTCTTTTACTCAAACATTTATTAAACCCGTTACACCTGTTCAGATCCAGAGTACTTTTGCAGATGTAATCTATCTGTCTGAGATCCTAGGATCCCCATAATTAGTTCATGAACTAAAACCAACCACACATTTTTAAGGTCTGTTCATCTACTGTAAGTGCATCTACAGGGAACACTGGCATGGAGCCTTATGCATCAACTGAGACCTTTTTTACCTAACTGTCCCTCTATCTGTTTTGCTAACTTAAAAACACTGTACTACATAGTCATAGAGCTTAAAATGAGCCTTCAGGTCAGCTAATATAAATTAAAACTCAAGACCAAACAAAAGGAGAAATTATGACAACATTGTACCAGACTTTAGTGTGACTTACAGTTCAAACATCATATGGAGGAAACACGGACCAAAATGTTTGAACCTGCATCCTGACACCAGGTGCACTCAAGAATCTGAGAGATTAAGAGCATATTTTTAATAAACTGGAATATCAGGAAGTGGAAACAAATGTTCTCCTCCATTGAGCATGATACTTGCATGAAAGAAAGTTGTTAGCATGCAGAACACTGACCTGCTCATAGCCACCAGACCTAAGAGGAGACCCTTTCCCTGTTGGGTCTAGCTAGGGGAAGGGAGGTTTGAATCAAAGGCTGGGTCATTTATGTGAGTGTCTGTGTGACAGATGACACCAATGAAGTGTGATATAATAAACCCATTACTGGAATTCACTGGGGGCTGGAAGAATTGTGTATGCCTGAATTAAGTAACTGGTTTCTATGGCAACATGTTAAGTGTGCCTTGCACAGAAGACCTGTTCATTCTCCGTTTTGTATCCTGTGGTGACCTCTTTAGGGACAGAAGTCCCCAGCAGTGCCTTTTGTCAAAGATGAGTGGACCCTCTATGTACCTAAAAGATGTTTAATCACTCTTCTAAACATACTCAGTGAATGCCAGATCAAGACATGTTGTGATGGGACACACTTCTGTCTACTCTAAAAGCCACCAGCTTGTTCAGAGACAAGCCACAGACAACCCTGTGGAAGGCCTTTTCTTCTGCACTGACATTGAAGGTCTCTGCTGCCTTTCTCCATCCACAGAGACTTCCTGAGTAATAGCTGTGGCAGAGAGTGACCACTTGTACCCTGATACCAAACCAGGCTGGGAACAGGGCTCTGTGTGGAGTCTGCGTGATCCTGTTCCAAGGATCTACAATTTTTGCTGTCTTTTCTCAGGCTTTTCTTTTACTGTATTCATGCCAAACCTTTTGATAAATAGGGGGGGATCCCCTGTGTGGGGGCACACACACATACATACCTCATTAAGTGGCAACATCAATAATTCAAGAGATCACCACTGAGGTTTCAGCGACTTCTTAGAGTTCTGATCTCATATGGCAGCAGGGTCACTGAAAAGAAACATGCACAGCACATCACAAGGTTGAATTCCTAGTAGCTAAGATGTAAGGACAGGGTCTTGCACTGCACTGAATTGTCCAACAGTCATCAGGACTGGCCTCTTGAAGCTGCATGATATTCATATTATTCCAGCTTCCAGCCAGAAAGGATTCCAGGAGGGATTAGTCACTAGTGAAGGTAAGTGCCTGATTGTTATGACTAGGGCTGTCTGTTCAGCATTTCCTTTAACTTGAACTAAGGAGCAGACTGAATGCAGAGGCAAGTTGAGAGGAAGCAGTTAACACCAGCAGTGTAAACAAGCAGATAGCACTGCCAGGCCCTGCTTCCCTGGAGGAAGAATTAAGGCAAGGATTTGTCTCTGAAGGGAATTTGAACTGATGAGACTAGTCCAGCAATCCCATCCCTGGCAAGCGAACTTGAGGAGGGCACCAAGTGTCCTTCTCT